GATGACCCCGATCTCGCTCCAAAATTGATGACTATCACCCCATAACAACCCCCAAAATGACTCAAAGTCGTCCCCAAAATGACCCCAAATCACCCCAAAATTACCCTAAATCATCCCAAAGCGATCCAAGATCACCGTAAATCGATGGGAATGGCCCCAAAATGACCCAAACTCATCCCCCAAATCAACCCAGGTTACCCCAAAATTAATGAAAATGGCCTTAAATAACCCCAGATCACCTCCGCTCATCCAAAGGGAGCCCCAAATAGCTCCAGACCACCCCAAACTCGAGGAGGATGACCCCAAAACGACCCAAACCAACCCCAAAGTCCCCCCCCAAATTCACCCCCGATCGTCCAGAGTCACCCCAAATGATCACAAAATGACCTCAAATCACCCAAAATTGCCCCAAAATGGCCCGGACTGCCTCAAATTTTCTTCAACTGACCCCCAATTCCCTCAAAACGACCCCAAAAACCCCTCAAAATGATCCCAAAATGATCAGCCTTGGTGGAGTCACCTGATGTGAGCCTGAAATACCCCCCAAACGACCCCAAAATCAATGAAAACGCTGCCGAAATCACACCGAGATCACAGAAAGAGCCTGAATCGCCCCCAAAAAAGAGCCTAAACTGCCCCCAAATTCCCTCAAAATGAACCCCAAAGGGACTCCTTGTGCAAGATGCCCCTGCTTGTGCAAAGGCACCTCGTGCAATAGGGCCCTCCTCGTGCAAGGACCCTTGGTGTGCACAAGGGCACTCGTTGCACGGGGGGTTCCTTGCACGATGGAAGGGTGGAATGCAAGGGGGAGAAGGGGGGGGGTGGAATGTTAAAAAATAGGGTTTCCCCCCCAAAAAAGTGCCCGTGATGTCATCCTGCTGCCATAGCGACGGCGGCCGCAGGAAATAGGGCAGGAAACTGCGCCGACCGCAGCACCACAGGGCCCCAAAATCGCCCCAAATCGCCCCAAAATGTGCTCCACTCGGCACCAAGTGGGGCTGAATGTGGAAAAAAAGCCCCCGAATTGCCCACAGATCACCCCAAAATCGGACGAAATTGGTTCAAAATGGATGAAAATGGAACCGGCATCAAGCCGTCGTCTGAAATGGAACCAAAATCGCCCCAAATCACCCCAAAATGAGCCACAAATAGCCTGAAAATGGATCAAAACGATCCTGAAATGACACAAATGGACCTAAAAATGATCAAAAATGACCTAAAAATGACCCCAAATCCCAAAATGATCTAAAATTTACTCAGAATAACCTAAAATTGACCCAGAATGACTCCCAGTTACTGGAAATCACCCCATGTCACTCCCAGATGACTCCAAATCCCCACAAAATTAATCAAAATGACCCCAAAATGCCCCTAAATTACCACCGAATGACCTCAAATTGAGACACAATGACCCCAATTGGCTCAAAATTCCACCAGAATGAGCCTAGAAGATGTGAAAGTGGCTGAAAATTGCCCCAAAATGGCCCCGTATGACCCCGGTGATACAGGGTGACCCCAAACCGACCCCAGAATCCCCCCTAAGGTGTCCATAAATCACTCGAAATCAACTCAAACTGTTCCAAAATCGTCCCTAAACCAACCAAAATGAGCCCAAATCACCCAAATGACCCCAAATCACCCCAAAACGACCCTAAAATGATTCACAAACCACCTGAAATTGAACTCAATGACCCCCAAATCATCCTAAAATGCCTCAAATGACACCAAATCACCTGAAATCAACATAAATTCAACCCTAATTTACCCAAAATTGCCCCAAATCACCTCAAAATCCCCCTCCGTCATCTCAAATGATCCCAAATCACCACAAATCAACCCCAAATCTCTTCAGTCACCCTCAAATGACCCAAAATAACCCCAAATTATCCCCAAATCAGTCGCAAATGACCCCACATTGACTTCCAGATTGTCCCCAAATCACATTAAATCACCCCAAAATCATCTTCAATCAACCCAAATCAATTCAAATCTCCCCCAAATTACCCCAAAGTGAACCCAAATCACCTCAAAATCGTCCCCAAATCATCTCAAATCACCCCAGAATCACCTCAAAATCACCCTATATGACGCAAAATCAACCAAAATCACCCCCAAATCATTCCAAATCAACTCCCCAACCACTCCTAAAAAACACCCCGTGACACCCAAACTGACCATAAATCATCCCCAAATGATCCCAAATCACCTTCAATCAGCCCCAAGTCACCCCAAAATAATCCCAAAATGATCTCAGGCCACCCCCAAAATCATCTTAAATCACCCCAAGACCACCTCAAATCATTCAAAAATCACCTCAAATCGGCCCCAAATCACCCAAAATGATCTTATCACCCCCAAAATCACCTTCAGTCACCCCAAAATCACCTCAAGATCACTCAGTATGACCCCAAATCACCCTGAAATCACCCCAAAATCGCCCTGAATCATTCCAAAATTACCCCGAAAACACCTAAAAATCACCCTATATGATCCAAAATTGTCCCAAATCATTCCAAAATCAACTAAAAATCACCTCAAATCACCCCAAAATTGCCTTCAACCACTCCAAAATCACCCGGTAAGATCCTGAATAGTCCCAAAATCACCTCAAAATCATTCTAAACCATCCCGAAATCACCTTAAAATCACCCCAAATCACCCCAAAATTGCCTTCCATCACTCAAAATCACCTCAAAATCACCCTGTTTGATTCCAAAATGTCCCCAAATCACCTCAAGATCACTCTGAATCATCCCAAAATCACGCCATAATCACCCCAAATCATCTTCAATCACCCCAAAATCACCTTCAATCCCTCAACATGGCCCCAGATCACCCCAAAATCAGCTCAAATTCACCCTATATGACCCCAAATCACCCCCAAATCACCTTCAAATCCCCCCAACATCACCCCAAAATCACATCAAAATCACCTTACATGATCCCAAATCACCTCAAAATCACCTTCAAATCCCCAACATGACCCCAAATCACCCTATATGGCCCTCAAATCACCCCAAAATCACATCAAAATCACCCAACATGACCCCAAATCACTCCAAAATCATCTCAAAATCAACCCAAAATCAGCCCCAAATCACTCCACATCGCCCCGAAATCACCTTCAATCACCCCAAAATCACCTCAAAATCACACATGACCCCTCAAATCACCCCAAATTCACTTTCAATCACCCAAGTCACCTTCAATCCCAACATGACCCCAAATTACCCCAAAATCATCACAAAATCGCCCTACACGACCCCAGATCACCCTCAAATCACCCCAATATCACCTTCAATCACCCCAAAACCACCTCAGAATCACCCTATAAGACCCCAAATCACCACAAAATCACTTTCAATCCCCCCAGCATGACCCCAAATCACCCCAAAATCACCTTCAATCACTCCAAAATCACCTTGAAATCACCCTACATGACCCCAAAATCACTGTCAATCCCCCAATATGACCCCAAATCACCCCAAAATCACCTCAAAGTCACCCAAAATCAGTCCCAAATCACCTTAGATCACCCCAAAATTACCCCAAAATCACCCTCTATGACCCCAAATCACCCCAAAATCACCTTCAATGCCCCCAGCATGACCCCAAATCACCCTGAATCACCCCAAAATCACCTTCAATCTCTCCAAAATCACCTTCAAATCACCCTACATGACTCCAAATCACCCCAAAATCACCACAAATCCCCTCAACGTGACCCCAAATCACCCCAAATCACCCCAAAATCACCTTCAATGCCCCCAGCATGACCCCAAATCACCCTGAATCACCCCAAAATCACCTTCAATCTCTCTAAAATCACCTTCAAATCACCCTACATGACTCCAAATCACCCCAAAATCACCTTGAATCACCCCTAAAATTACCTTCAATGCCCTCAACATGACCCCAAATCATCCTGAATCACCCCAAAATCAGTTTCAATCACTCCAAAATCACCTTCAAATCACCCTACAGGACCCCAAATCACCCCAAAATCATCTCAAAATCATCCTAAAATCACCTTGGAATCATCTTCAATTGCCCCAAAATCACCTCAGAATCACCCTACAGGACCCCAAATCACCCCAAAATCACCTCGAAATCACCCTGCATGACCCCAAATCCCCCCAGTTTTCCCCTGCTGTCCCAAATGACCCAAATTTCCCCCAAATGACCCTAAAATCACTCCCCAAATCAGGGCAGCAGTTGAGGAGGCGGAGGCAGAGGTGTCAGAGCTGGAGACACAGCTGGAGAAGGTGGGGGGGGGGTCCCCAAAAATGGGGGGTGG